ATCTGGTGATGTCCATGTGTAGAGTCTTCTCTTGTGTTGTTGGAAGAGGGTGTTTGCTATGACCAGTGCGTTCTCTTGGCAAAACTCTATTAGCCTTTGCCCTGCTTCATTCTGTACTCCAAGGCCAAATTTGCCTGTTACTCCAGGTGTTTCTTGACTTCCTACTTTTGCATTCCAGTTCCTTATAGTGAAAAGGACATCTTTTTCGGGGTATTAGTTCTAGAAGGTCTTGTAGGTCTTCATAGAACCATTCAACTTCAGCGTCTTCAACATATACACTAAGCTGAGCTGTGCCCATAAAATGGATGGGGGTCTCTCGGTGGAAGAAGTGCTCTCTAGTCACTCCTTTAAATAACACTCCCTGGCTACATGGTTTCACGCGGGAACTTGGAACAGTATAGTTGATTTATAGCATTGTGTTAGATTCTCGTGTACAGCAAAGTGATTCAGCTGCATCGAGGGATATATATTTTTTCATATTCTTTTCCATAACGGTTTATTATGGGATTTTGCATATGGTTCCCTGTGCTTGTTGTTTATGTTTTTTTATATAGAGCAGTTTGTATACGCTAATCTCAAACTCCTAATTTATCCCTCCCCCTTTAGCAACCATGTTTATTTTCTATGTCTGTGGGTATCTTTCTGATTTGTAAATAAGATCATTTTTAAATGGTCATTTTTAACATCAGAAATTTATGACAAGTGGATGGCCCAAGTCTGAAAAGCTATCTCCCAGACTCTTTATGGGTTATTCAGAAGTTGTAAAGCAGGCGAGGAAGCTAATGTCCTAGAAATCTGGTATTAATTTAATTTGCAGCCACTAATTAATATTCTGTAAAGATGCTTTGCTATCGCTATGAAAATGGCCTTAAATGTGTGTTTGTGTATACTGCCTACAAGTGGAGCCACTATGTATGTATCTAGCAAGAATCTGAAAAGGATGGCTTAAGAAAAAGTCATGTTAGGGTAGAAATACTCTCTACTGGTGAATGCCAGATGGTGAAGGGTGAGGATGGGAAGATATACAACCTCTGATAGTTACAGAATTATTTAAAAGCTTTGCTAATAAACAAGAAATAATTAGAAAGAAATTATTACAAACAAAATTTATTAGACAAACACATCAATAGATTGAGTTTAAGGATTTGGTTGGGAACTCACTGGCCCTTTTAAAGCAGCAGATGTCCAAAGTCACACACTTTGAGCATTACTCTGTTAAAATGTGTAGAAACATGAAAGGTCAGGAAACACAGCACTCCTGGTCCACAAACAGACAAGCCTCCCCCGCTCCCTCCCCAATCCCTCTCTTCAACTGGAATCTTCCCATACCTGAGAGGAAAGTAATGTTTCCCAGGTCTTACAGAAATTCAGTTTCTTTGTTACAGATCCTACTTCTGTGTATGCCTGCTCCTGATACATGGAATGTTGCTCTTCAGAAACCCACGAATAGTTACTGAGGGAGTGTTTATCAACAAGTAAAGTTAATAAAATAATATTCTCTATTACAGTAACTGCATTTTTAATATCATCTGGCACCCTTATCTTTCAGAAAGTTTAATGCATTGTTTGGGGACACATTTCTTCTTCAGCATAGGAGGGAAAGAGTTTAATTAATAAATTATAATTAAATAATACATACACTCAAATCGGATGAGATTCACATGAATGTGAAATCTTCATTTAATTTGGAAGAAGGGGGGTATATTTTCTTATTCTTGATAAGAACAGAAGTAGATATCCCAAGGTTGTAATATCCTGTGTTCCTAAAACCAAATAATGTGCTTTTATTTTATAAGAAGCCATTGATCTTTAAGTTTATTAATGACATAGGCTACCAAGAAATAGCAAGGAATATGGTATCCATACAGATACTCCCCAGCCTCGAGTCATCCAATAAAGGTGAGAGTGAAAGATAACATGACCTAGTCAGGGAGGTCTGGGTTTTGGAAATAGGGGCTACAAATTATGTTACATAAAAAATTGAAGAAGAGTATTCCAGACAAAGCCAGCAAGAGAATTTTACAGGGCTAATTCTTAAGAGAGATGATAAAAGCAGCAGTTAGAATGCGTGTCCCTATATTAAGTTCCTGCAGTTGAATCCATCACATGCACGCCTTTTGCGACCCCGTGATGTGCCCAATAATTATTTCTTTTACTGCTCTTAACAACCTTTTGCTTGTTTACCATGCCACCACGGAGAGTCTGTGTGGAACTGAATATCTCTCAAGTCAGTATCTTAGATGAAGCTCTAAAAATGTTGAGACTGTTTTTAAAAAAAAAATAGTCTAGTTCATAACTGCGGTGTGTGCTGAAGGAGAGAACTCTCCTTGGTCACTATTGAGAGTTTAGGACTTGCTGGGAACATATAAGCCAAGACTGAAGTTTTACAATATCAAACACTGCAAATCATAACGGGCAGTCTCATGTATAGTCCTCAAGATTTCAGTCGTGCCACTGGTCTCTTGCTTATTGTTATGCCTTTGGGGCCATAGTCATGGTTTGTGAAAGCTGTTCTCAAAACTTGCGGTAGCCGGTAACGGGGAACTGCGCTCTACCTAAGGAGGCAAGTCGAGCTGTCTGTAAAGCCCCTGAATTTCCCAGCACGAACTTCTGGTCTCCGAAAACTTAGGTACCCATTTTCTCAGCAATAGCCCGTGGAGCGACTGTCTGGAATAAGAGTTGCTCTCAAGTCCTAATCTTAAATGAAAGATGTAAAAACATAGAGCGTTACGCCTTTAAAAATTGGTCCATCTCAAGGCGGCAGTGTGCGCTCACAGACTCAATTCTCTCCAACTTTGTGCAGTGTTTGGAAGGAACCGCTGGACTGGGGCCAGTAACCAAGTATGAAATGGGAAACAATCGGCTCCGAAAAGGGAAACAAAAACAATTTGGCTCTGAGACAGCCAAAATCTTCGCAGATTCCATCCTCGGGAGCCGCTGGAGGGCGGATCTTGGCTCTCTCCGGACTCCAAGCCCGCCGCTGGGCCAGCCGCGCGCCTCCGAACACCCAGACCCTCAGAAAGAGCCCTGAACTGAACGAAGCCTGACCCACGGCGAACAGCAGGTCCAGACACGGGGAGTTTTAAGGACGGCTTCCGTCTCCGGATACTCTGAAACGTGGCAGGTCCTTGATTCCCATTAGTGGACCGTGTGGATCCCGGGGTTCCGCGCGGCGGGAAGGCGCGCACCTGGGAGCCGCAGGCGGCCTCTCCCTGCCCTCTGGCGGCGCCTCCAGGCAGCCTGCAGGGACGGGGCGCACAGACACGCGCGCACCAGGAGGGGGCGGCCCCTGCACATCGGCGCCCCTCAGTAGGGTGGGGCCACGCCAATCACTCGTGAGTCCAGACGAAGAGGGGTCCAAGGGGTTCGGGGGTTCATAGATGCGGGGCGTAGAAAGGGGTCAAGTAGGAGGGCCCGAGGAAGGGCGCGAAGGAGCCCCCGGCGGCCGTCAGCGGGAAGGAGGCGGCGGCCGGGAAAAGGACGTTGGCCGCCGAGTAGGAGGGGAAAGTCTGGAAAGGATGCGCGCCCGGGCCCGGCGGACCTGGGCTGCCCCCTGCGCCGCCGCCGCCGCTCGCCGCCGCAGCCCCGGGCTGGGGCGCGCCACCTCCCGCCTGCGCCGCACCTTCGGCGCCGGGGTTCTGCTTCTTCCACTTGGTCCTGCGGTTCTGGAACCAAATTTTGACCTGCGTCTCAGTGAGGCTGAGCGAGAGCGCGAGGTTCAGGCGCTCGCACACGGACAGGTAGCGCGTGGCCCGGAACTTGTTCTCCAGAGCCACGAGCTGCTCGTAGGTGAAGGCGGTGCGCGCGCGCCGCGGCTTTGGTGCGCCGCCGGCTCCCCCCGCCGCCGCCGCGCGTCCTCCACATCCTCGTCCTCCTCTTCCGCCTCCTCCGCCTCCGACCCCTCCAGGGGGGACGCCAAGCCGGCGCCGCGGCCCGCAGCATCTGGAAGAGAAGGGGACGGTGATCAGAAGCCGGGAACCACCCAGCTCGTCCTGGTCTCGGGATCTGCTTCTCGTCCTCCCCAGAGTAGGAGGCAATCTCCCCAATTCAGAGCCCTACCCTGCCCCTCTCCGAGACTGCGTTCCCTGCCACCACCCCACGGCCCCCCATGCAGAGTGCCCAGCTCTTCCCAGGAGGTGGGAGTTAGGGTTGCGGTGCCTCCTCTCTACTCATCTACAACCTAGTAGGTGTCCAAGAAGTGTATTTGGAATCAATGGATGACACCCTGCATTAAGAGAAAATAACGAGCTCATTGGACAACCTTATAAGAGCGTTGTATTACATATTACGACATCGAGATGTCAAGTGCTTTTAGGGCTCTCTCCCCCTGTCCCTAGAATCCTGTTTGGGTCTGGAACCCCTAGCAATTAAAAAAAGAAATTATTAGGCGCCCCTCTCCTCCCTTTTAAAGTGAAATTCCCTCTTTCCCATCTTCTCTCTGCTGCCGTGTTAATAGAGTTTCAGATTTGTGCGGGGCCGGATCGATAGATGTCATCTATTAAAGGTAAGTTTTAATCGAACAATATTAGGATCAGACAGGGAAAGGGGGTTTGAAGTCGGTACCTGCAAGCTGCGGGCAGGAGATATGCAGGCTCCAGTAATAGAATATCGATCAGAGAGGTGGGGCAAGGGGAGAGCGGTCCCTGCGAGGGGCGATCGGAACAATTACCCGGCCTGCCGCCCAAGCCCAAGCGCAGCTGCCAGAGGCGCCCAGAGCCCCAGACCATCACCGCTAAACTTGGGGGAGGGAAAGCAGTGGTGGGCAGGGGGGAAACTGCCAGACTTCAAGCCTCTCCCTGTGCTGCGCCCCTGAACTTTGGCGTCCCTCCAAGGGAACCTCGTGCCCAGGCCTCACCCAGCTCTGGTCCTGCTGTCCTTGGTCTTTCATTTCAGACACAAACTTTCCTGGACTCCTCATCAGGTGTCCACCAGAGTTAGGAGTTAAGTCAAACAGGGTTTGGAGAGAAAGGACAAAAGAGTCTCCCATCACCGCAAGCCACCTGGACCCCAGTCCAGTCAACCACTGGGTCTGGGGAGACTGAGTGTGTGGGCACGGGATTCTTTGCAGTAGTCTCTGGAGGGCTGGAAGGGGCCCCTGTGTGCTCTACCGGACCTCCCCACCTGCAAAGACTTCAGACACTTCGTTCACCAGCCTCAGCTCCTCACCCAGAAAATGGAGGGAAGATGCTGCCGACCTCCTTAACGACCCTGTCTGCCGCACAGGTTTTGGAGTTTCCCTGACTTGCATCCCAGACTCTAGCCCAGGTCCTGGCACATGGTGGGAGCATTAAATGCCCAGTAAGTGAACAAGCCTGGCTAAACTGGGTGCTGGGTAAGTATTAGTTTCCACTGCCGGTCAATCAGAGCTGAGGTGCTTACTCACTTGGCAGGTGAGCAGGGATAAGCTTCGGTGGCAAATCTCTGACCTGGGATGCTGCGGGGAGTGGGGGGGGGGGTGTCCCCCCTCCCGGTGTCCCCATATATGCATCTTCCTGCGGCTTCCCTGCTGGCTCAGATCGTAGAGAATCTGCCCGCATTGGGGGAGACCCAGGTTCGATTCCTGGGTCGGAAAGATCTCCTGGAGACGGGAATGGCAACCCACTCCAGTATTCTTGCCCGGAGAATCCCATGGACAGAGGAGCCTGGTGGGCTACAGTCCATGGGGTCGCAGGGAGTCGGACACGACTGAGCGCCTAACACTTTCACTGCTCCTCCACTTTTTTCAGTCCTCTCCCTGTGCGCCTTCTCTCCTTTGGGGAAGACGCCGCCAAGGTCTGCTCACCTGAACCCGGGCCGTCCCTCCCACCTTCCCATCGCAGCATCTAAGCTGGGGTTTTCCGGGGCCCGAGGCCGCCTCAATTCCTTACCAGGCGCCTCGCGCTGCGGAACCGGGTCCTGGCTGGCGTCCTTCCTTGCTTCGGCCTCTGCCAAACTTTTCTTGGCTTCCCGGAGAGCCGGACGCACGGCTGGGAGCGCAGCCCGGGTGAATTTCTGCGGGTCCAAGATGTCCAGAACCGAGAAGGAGATCTTGTGATGGGAGGGAGCCGCCTTGGCCCCGCCGTCCTGCCATGCCAGCATGCCCCAGAGGCCGGCGGCGCGGGGTCCGGGATGGGAGTGCTCGGGCTTGCTTTAGGCTGTGGCTTGGCCGCCGCTCTCTGCCGGTAGGAGGGTCGAGGCAGCCAAGTGAAGCTGGGGAGGGGGGCGCGGAGGCGGGGCGGGGAGAGAGTGGCCGGAGGTTGCGCGCGGATTGGCACTTGGGCTGCCCCAGGCCCCCGCCACGTGCAAGGCGCGCTAGCAGGAGTCCCCAAGACTACCCCGAGCTTTGCCCGGACCTCCAGCCTCGGCGAGGGGGCGCCTCGGTGCGTCCGGTGCGCGCGCCCGCCTGGACAGAGCCGCGGGCTCAGCGCGCCTCCGCCCAACCTGCGGGGACTCCGGGTGAGCGAGGGAGGGACCCTCGGAAGCTTTCGTCCCGGAGGTCCTCCCAATACACCTACTCCGACTCGGGCTTGGGTTTGCACCCTTGCTCCAGGGCACCCGCCTTTGAGTTGGGGACGCAGTTGAGTCCAGAACTGATTACACGAAGGCAACGCTCAGCACATCGCCTGCTTCGCCAATGCATCACAGTAATGGCCTCGGACCTGACCACCTCTGATTTAAAAGCTTTCATGTTCTCACAGTTTACAGTTTACAAAGCCCTTCCACGTGCGCGATCTCGTTTGATCTTCTGAGCAGCCCTGTGCGGTGGGCGTGGCCTGGCAAGTCTTTATCCCAATAGAATGAGGTTCAAAGGTGAGAAGTGATGTTGCCCAGGGCCACTGTTCGTTGGTGACAGAGTCTGAATTTGAACCCGGGTCTCCTTTCCTGAACCACTATTCTTTACAGTAAGTCCTGTTATTTCTCTAGTAAAGTCCAGGTTGTGGACTCGACAAAACCCAGGTTGTGACAGAGGCTGTCCCTTCCAACCTGGAGCCTAGCCAGGTTAGGGAGCAGCAGGGGGCTCGGAGAGATGTCTGAGCCCCAGCCAAGATGCTCTGGTGAGGACAGGTGAGCTAGGCGCAGGCGGCTGTCCTGAGCTGTGGAGACTCCAGGCACGACCCCTGATACCCTTCAGGCCTTCTTCACAGTCACAGGTTTGATCATTTGCACAGTTATTGCCTGTCTGGGAGGCAGGTTGCATCTTTAACCCCCCATCCTCCCAACTGTCCCAAGAAGAAAAAGGTTAAAAGATGTTTTGCCTGATTTGGACTTAAAGGTCAGAAAACAGATAAAAAGCTTGCATCTAACCCACCAAGTCCCACGGGGATGGGGCACAGCAGTCCTTGGGGGAGCTTCCACCAGCCACGCCCTTCTTAAATTCCCCTTCTTTTGTTGCTTGGGGAACAGTCTGAGCTCTAAGTATTTATCTCAGCGGCAATTTCTGAGGCTTCTCCGACCCCTCAGCCCAGAGCTACCTCTAAGGCTGCTGTCCCTTTCTTCCTTGCCCCATGGGGTTTTTGAACAATGACTTGGCAATTAAGATTGTCTGAGCAGGTAGGAGTAGGAAGGGGAGGAGAAACCTTCCACTAAAGGGCAGTGGGGGCAGGGGGTGGGGGGGCTGCTGCTAATTCCATCTGTTATTGAAGAGGAGATCTTACAGGCCAGCTTCTTGGAGCTTTTCTCATTCAAAGCTCATGGCCCCTCCCAGAGGCGGTCACCGTATTCCCTGGGGACTTTAAAGCCCTGCCGAAATTCGAGCCATCTCCAGTCCCAAAGCTGAGAAGAATTGTGCTTTCAAAGGAAATCAGGGAAGGAAGTGCCCTGGCCAAGCCCACCGGACCACCTTCCGTCAGAGGGAATGCACGCCTAGGGAAACCAAAGAAAGATGGCCACGGCTCTAAACCGTGGTGCCCAGGAACCTGGATTGCCAATCACAGAACCTTCCAGGTCTCCGATAGGGTAGTTTGGTTTTTGTTTTGACAACTCTTTCTCACCCAATTCTCACCTGATTAAAAACAAAAAAAAATCTTTCTTAAACAACAAGGTCCTACTGTATAGCAGAGGGAACTACATCCAATACCCTGTGATAAACCATAATGGAAAAGAATATGAAAAAGAATGCAGGTACATGTTTAAGTGAATCACTTGGCTGTACAGCTGAAATTAACACATTGTAAATGGGTGTGTGTGTGTGTTAGTCACTCAGTCGTGTCCGACTCTTTGCGACCCCGTGGACTGTAGCCCACCAGGCTCCTCTGTCCATGGGATTTTCCAGGCAAGAATACTGGAGTGGGTGATTCCCTTCACCCGGGGATCTTCCTGACCCAGGGATCGAACCCAGGTCTCCTGCACTGCAGGCAGATTCTTCACCATCTGAGCCACCAGGGAAGACCCAAATCAAGTATACTTCAATACATTTAAATATTGAAATCAAGTATACGTCTATAAAACAAAATTTTTTTAAAATCTTCTCTTTCTTTCCCCTTCCCCACTGATCCCACTCCCCTTTTACATTTTTCCACTCACATTTATGTTTTTTCATATTTAGGTTCTCCATGGTAGCTAAAAATAGGTCTTTTTAAGGGACCTCCAGAATGGACATTTCTGGCTCCCCATGGTCCCTCTCCTTCTCTGTTCTCCTCTGAGAAATTCTGAGGTCACTTTCAGGGGAACGTGGGCTGCCATTCCAGAAGGCACCCCATGCCCCCAACCAGAGGGACCTGGAAGGTACAGAAGCCAGGGCAGGCCAAACCCAGTCATATTCTTTTCACTTAATCAACTGTCTCCAAAAATTTTTGTTCAACTAATTTGAATCATCTTTCCTTTGAGTTCTGCAGGTGTTAAATATAGAAAAGGATAAGAAAAAGGAGAAGCAACAAATTGGAATGTCAAGAACACATAAAGGCCATGTGCTATACAACTGTGCATCTTTAAGAACTCTAAGTAGTTATTTAGTTATCTTATTTCCCTTGCCCTTTATTTCTCCTATATTTCTGATATGTGTGTTCAGTGCTGTATGAAGTTATGTGAACTCTTGCATTCAGGACTTGGCTTCTGGAGACAGGTGCACAAGAAACAGCATGATGTGGGATTTCCTGGTGATCCAGCGGTTAAGACTCTGCGTTCCCAATGCAAGGGAGCCAGGTTTGACCCCTGGTCAGGGAACTAGATCTCACGTGACACAGTCGAGAGTTCACATACCACAGCTGAAAAATCCTGCATGCCACAAGGAAGACTGACTATCTCCCATGTCACAGCTAAGACCCGGCACAACCAAATAAATAATTAAAAAAAAAAAAAAGAAAAGAAATAGCATGGTGTCTCCCATCATCATTGCAGGAATAGAAAATGCTCCCTCTTACCCAACTTAAAAAGAGACCCCTCACCTAGAGAACAGACTAAATTCTTCAATTTGGTAAGGGGTGGGGGTGTCTGGGGGAATTGCTTTGTAAATGACCAGAAAGGCAGTGAACTTCCTAGAGGAACAATCTGGAGATGTGCTGACTTGCTCACGTCCTCACACATGTATTTATATGTGAGATGTTCCTATGTAATAAGTACATTGGTATCCAGCAAGCCACCTTCTCCCTGTGCTCAGACCTGATTTGTGTTTTCAGCGTGGGCATTAAAATTCTGCCTGAGTGCTGTCTTTAAATTGCTTTGATGCTAGGCGGGATCCATCCCTGACCTGTCCTGATGGCAAGTGATGGCTGTAACAAGCTCGGGATCAATATTCATAGCGGGTGTCCCGGGCTGATAACACTCGCCAAGACAATGTTCACTATCAGCACAGACAGCTGAGATATTGCGCCATTAGGGATGTTGTGTTAAATAACCTGATCCATTTCTGGGGCTATTTAATGAATTTCACAGTTTAGATAGTATCTTTAAGGAGAAGGCAAAGGCTATTCCAGAGGCACTGATGCAAATCAATGATGCCAAGCTTCCCGAGCGATTCCACAAAGTGGCCTATACCTCCAGCACAGCCTTGAGAAGCTGCAGCCTGAGCCGTGAACAGTGTTAACAATGGAAAGAATTTGCAGTATGTGCAGAGGGAGAGCAATCCTAGGAGCTGTGTCAAAGCACCTGAGATAAAATCTGATGTTTCTGAGATAAAATACACCTTAAATTCTCTAAGTAAAAAAACCCTGCAGTTTGGGCCAGCCCATGGGATAGGTCATTATGCCAAAGAGACAGCTTCATAAGGCACGATGTGGTAACAAAGGGGGAGAAGTGTCTTCAACTCCAATCTGCAAAATGGGAGGGGGAGGTGCTGGACTTTAAAAAGAAACTAACCCATAGCAGCAAAATCAGTTGTTACTTGTTTACTTGACTCCATAGCCCTTGTTGGTGGAGAGTTCATTTACAATTAAAGGCTAGCATTTCCCATTTCCCACCAGGGCTTTGAACTCTGACAGCCAAGCAGAGCAAGTGTTCCTTAAAAAAAAAAAAAAGAAGAAGCTTTGATTTGTGAAAGCTCTTAAAGAGCAGCCACCCATCCCAGACTGCAACCAAAATAAAAATGTTTACTCAGTATTTTTTGCTTTAAGAAATCAGTGTTTCATGTTGGAAATCAACAAGTTTAAAAAACAATCAACTCCTTTATTTCAGAAATTGTGGAGGAAGCATCAAAGGAGGTGTGAAGGCAGTGGGAGGAGGGTATTGTCCTGGTAACGACAGCAAGCATTTGCAATAATAGCTCTTCTTTCTTGGGCACTTTCTATGGACCAGGCACTGGGCTGAGCTTTTTGCTTATTTTGGGTTATTTCATTTAACCCTAGCCACGACCCCACGAAGCAGGCACTGTTATACCCCCAGTTTACAGTCGAGAAAACCAAGCTTAGAGAGCTTCAGAGTGACTTTTGCCATGAACCCAGAGCTAGGAAGTAAGGAAGCTGAGATTTGAACCAGGGTAGTTAGATTTTTAGAGCCTGATTCAGTAACATTCTTCTCTTAGAGGAAGCCACATTCCTGGCCCAGGGTGAAATCCAATTGCAGACATTTATCAAATGGCTTTCTCTCAAGGTGACACGCGATCTGAGATATAGAAGAGGACCTCTGAGAAGTAACTGAACCCAAGCACGGCCTGGGAGGATAGGGTG